CCTATGTAGAAAAGAGAAAGGGGATCAAGATCAAGCCCTCGGGTACACCAACACTGAGGGGTCAAACGGCAGAGGAGTCAGAGAGGGAGCAATTCGTGATCTAAGAGGAAACCCCGGAGTTTTATGAAGACGCGCAAGCGAGGAACAAGCTTCTTGAAGGAGGGGGTGGTCAGCTATGTGGAGTGCTGCTCTGAGGTCAGATAAGGTCAGGACAGAGAGCAGCCTTCAGATTTCCCAGGGGATGATGACCATGTCAAGGAGCCCTGGTGGCGCACAGGTTATGCACTCGGCTGCTAACTGAAAGACTGGTGGCTCGAACCCACCCAGTGACTCTGCTGGAGAAGGGCCTGGCGATCTGCTTCCATAAAGATGAACCCCACTGCTGCTGAGTCAATTCCAACTCATAGCGACCTTAAGGGACAGAGTACAACTGCCCCATGGAGTTTCTAAGGCTGTAAATCTTTACGGAAGCAGACTGCCACGTCTTTCTCCCACGGAACAGCTGGTGGGTTCGAACCGCTGACCTTTCAGTTAGCAACTGAGCACTTAACCACTGCACCACCAGTGCTCCTTTCCATAAAGATTACAGCCTAGGAAACCCTATGGGGCAGTTCTGCTCTGTCACATGGGGTCGCCACGAGTCCAAATCTACTCGACAACAGTTAAGAACAACGATGGCCATGTCGAGGCAGTCTCGGTGGAGCAGAGCGAGGCCTAACTGCAGCAGATGGAGAAGAGAGCGAGGGCCAGCAACTACAGTATTACTATTTACCCTCACTCACAGGACAACCTAATCACTTCACGGTCCAAGTATTAGTTCAATGTACCTACTCTGCTTCATCTGTGACTAATTCAAAGAATGGCTACAAAGCAATGCTGCTAAGTCTAGAGATGGCTTGGAGGTAGGGAATGTGCTTCCTCATGGTTTCATAGTTACAGCTCATACACACATGGAGATATAGTGTGTCTGTCCCAGGGTTTTATTTTTAGAGCAACTGCATCAAGCTCTTCTGACTCCACTCCACACATGCAAGGCTGCAAGGCAAGCGCCATCTGAGACTGACTGTCCCCACCTGCCCCACTTTCCAGTGGAAAAATGAACTGTGGAAACTCGAAAGTATGACAGGAAAACACAAATGGGGGAGATATATACACAGCTGTTTTAGCCAGAGGTATATGGACGACTCATTTTAAACCGCAATTCATGTATAAGTCTAGTTACTAGAAAATGCCAAGGCAAAAGCACTGTTCACGTGTATAGGTATCATTCACTACACATTGTAGAATTAACCAAGCAACAAACAAATTTGATAATAATGGTACTAAACTAACAGTAACTTAACAATGAAACCACAATAACAACGGCATTTGAAAACTAGGACCAATGAAACGAAACGTGTGGGAATCCCTACGGGGCTGCGGCAGGACTTTGGAAGAATGTGGAATGTTGAGCGGCAGGTAAACTTCTTGGAGTCTTCAGTAAACTTTGGTAGAGATGTAAATTTTAGGACTCCATAACAACTCCCCTAAACAGGACACCAGTAAGTAGTCATGAATATACACACGAAATAAAAGTATATGGAATTACACATTCATCACAGGAAGAAACAAAGACTGGGTTTGCATTTTTGGAGTAGTCAATGGCCTGCTGGGAGAGCTGGTCTACACAGTTCCTGGTGTAGTGCAAGAGGCCCATATAGGCTTTTCGACAACACCGCCCCCTTAGCCTACTGACGGCCACATCCAGTACGGTGTGACGGTGTGGCCTGGATGCCTATGTGTTCAAGACTCCTAGAATCAGAGCAGCCGCCTGTAATTGTCATCATGGAGCAGACGTCAACTCAGGTAACATGGGGTCTGTTTTATCTGAATTCATTCCAGTGTTTAAAAATTGGAAGACTTCACATTAAAAAGTTTTCTAGGGAAGGGAAGGAAAGAGAGATGAAAACACAAAGGGAAAGAAAGACAGGGCCAAGGTCCAGCTGCCTCCTTCAGATTCGATATGTGCACCCCCTCCCCGTCACTGTTCTTACCCTCCAGAAAGCCCACCAAACACTGAGTCAAACGTCAGCTGCCATTTATATCTACCTTGTGCTGTTATCCTTCTTACGCTGGGCCCACTGCACTTATCTTTGTTATCTTCCTGCTCTTTGTACCATTTGAGTTTGAACTTTGTCTCAGAAGGGTGTGCTGAGAAGGCCCCTCAGTGTCTAACAAGAGGAAAGGGACTTCAAGGACTCTTTAAGATGTCAAACTCTCACAAACTTAACTTAAACTGTTAGCTGTAGATTTTCTTCTTTAAATAACTCACCAAGGTAAGATACAATAAATTTCTTCCCTGGCTCCTTTCTAAGCAGCAATGTCACTAGTTACTCAGAGTCACAGAACTTTTCTTTCTTTTATTAGGGAATGTTTATTGTTCACAAATTAACATTTTAATTAAAAGGTCAAATCAAATTGGTCCCAACCCGCTTGTAGCAAAGGAGAATGAAGAACACCAAAGACACAAGGAAAGTATTAGCCGAAGAGACTAAAGGGCCACATAAACCAGAGACTCCACCAGCCTGAGGCCAGAAGAACTAGATGGTGCCCAACTACCACCAATGACCGCCCTGACAGGGAACACAACAGAGACTCCCGGATGGAAAGGGAGAAAAGTGCAAAGCAGAACTCAAATTCATATAAAATGACCAGACTTAATGGTCTGACAGAGACTGGAGGAATCCCCGAAACTATGGCCCGCAGATGTTCTGTTAACCCAGAACTGAAACCATTCCTGAGGTCCACTCTTCAGACGGGACCAAAAAGCAAAAAATAATACATGTGAGGAGCGTGCTTCTTAGTTCAATCAGATACACGAGACCAAACGGGCAGCTCCTGTCCGGAGGCAGGAAGGGACAGGAACTAGTTGAATGGACACAGGGAACCCAGGGTGGAAAGGGGGAGTGTGCTGTGACATTGTGAGGATTGTAACTAATGTCACAAAACAATATATGTATAAATTTTTGTATGAGAAATTAACTTGAGCTATAAACTTTCACCTAAAGCACAATTTTTTTTAAAAAAAAAGGTCACGCCAAAAACCAAACCAAACACATTGCCATCAAGGCAATTCCCACTCATAGTGACCCTGTAGGACAGAAAAGAACTGCCCCATAGGGTTTCCAAGGCTGTAATCTTTATGGAAGCAGACTGCCACATCTTTCTCCTGTGGAGCGGCTGGTGGGTTTGAATTGTCAACCTTTCGGTTGGCAGCCAAGCCAGCAGGGCTCCTTAAAAGATCAAAATATATCCACTAGGCAGTTTTGAACAGTTTGAACATAGGTTTAGGGTAGCAGAGGGAACCACATTTCAAGAGAAAAAAAAAGCGTCCTCCAAATAGAATAAAAAAAATGATTAAACAGAGTTGCTTTAAAAATATTTTTTTCTCACATATACACAGCAACCATAAGTTTTCAAATATATAATTAGTACTAAAGATGTCCATGTTCTTGTACGCCCTCAAGTCGACTCCAACTCATCACAACCCTACAGAACAGAGCAGAACTGCCCCACAGGGTTTCCTACGCTGTAATCTTTATGGGAACAGATCACTAGGTCTTTCTCCCTCAGAGCCGATGGGTAAGTTCGAACCGCCAATCCTTCAGTTAGCAGCCCAACACTTCACTGTTGTGCCACCAATCAAAAAAAACCCAAACCCATTGCTGTCGAGTTGATTCTGACTCACTGCGACCCTATAAGACACAGTAGAACTGCCCCCATAGGGTTTCCAAAGAGAGGCTGGTAGATTCGAACTGCCGACGTTTTGGTTAGCAGTCGAACGCTTATCCACTGCACCACCAGGGCTTTGTTGTGCCACCAGGGATCCTTAAAGATATCCACAAGACAGACTTCACACAACCTCTCCCAATGACCATTTATTTTACACTTTAAGCTACTTTTGGGTGAAACTCGTTTCCCTAGCCTTTTAAAAATAAGCCAAATCAATAACTGATTACTAGTGACCGGCTAGCCAGAATTACCACAAGTGGAACCTTACACAGGTTCAACGTCACACACTAAAAAACAAGACTCTTCCAAAAACATACACATAAGCCTAGAGCAAATCACACCATACTATAACACCAGCTTCCCCTTTTTACACCTCTGAAATGTTCAAATAAATAAAGGCAGCCTTGAAAGAGAAAATAAATTACAAAAAGACGAATGACAAGTGTGCATGGATGAGACGGCCCCATGCTTTTGCTCTGAAGACCAGGAAGTTGACATTGTTGATTAATCACACACGTTCAACACAGTTGGCTTTCTTTTTTCTACCAGCTGCTTGTGAGTCACTGCCCACACTCCAGCACCAGTGGGACCCCCTAAAGCCTGGACCCAAGTCCCAACCCATCATGCCCTAACCCCACTATTGAAGAAAGTCTACCTCCAAGTTACACCAACGTGAAACCACACAAAAGGTGTGAAGTTCGGATTCAAGGCAAATCGTTTAGAAGACAATGGCGAAACTCATTGTAACTTTAAAATAACTTTACATTAATAAGTTACTAGCTGAACATTTTCCAATAATCTTGTTTCCAGCATACTGTATAACATTAGACTTCACTCAACTTGGGGGGGGGGAGTAGACTAACCACGTGGGTGCAAGTATTAGTTTATATCCCCAGTCATCTTTCCTCAAAGTCTGAACAGCACCAAGTATATCAAAGAGCATGCAAACACTTGCAATTGCAGGATTTTCAAATCTGCTTCACTTTTGTTGTCTGAATTAGAACTTAGTTTAAATTGAATTAGCGGTACCCAGTGAATAATCACTAAAAGAGCCTTTTCCATTCTCAGTTAAAAACTAGAGTCTAAGATGCGTTTTCCCTTTTACTTGACTTGCAACATGTCGGGGGAGGAGCGGGGGTGGAAGGCGCTTCCCCAAGGACACTCTGGCTCTGAACTTTCCTCGCTGGAAAAACTACCAAGATCCAGGAGCGCCGTCAGAATCCACTTACCCGATCCTTCATCCTCCAGCTCTGAGCTAAGGATTTGGAGCCTTCAATTTTCTCACAGTGCCTCTTTTTCATAAAAGCCAACGGTAGGTTCCAATCTGTAAGGTCGGCCTCATCTTCCTCCCCAAGTCCCAGAAGAGGCGACTGCAGCATCTCGGACTCCATCAGCGGGGGAGGCGGCGGGGGAGTCCTTGGCAGCAAGCGCTCGAGAACCTCCAGCCTTAAAAACTAGTGTGCACCCGATTTGGTGAAATAAGTAATAAAAAAAAGAGGGGGATAGAAAAGGGAATGAATGGAGCGTGTGCGAAGACCCTCACTCGGGCAAAAAGTCTTAGATCCTTATCTTGAACACTGCGCGGGAAGTCGAAGGGGGGTGGGGAGAGCTGGGGGGAGATGGGGCAGCCCCAGGAGCTCTGCAAAGACTCGTACACCCCCAGATCCCAAGCCACTGGCTGCTTCTGGGGCTGTACGTTCCCGGAGGAGCTGCGAGCGGAGCTGTCAAAAGCGTGAGCGACTTCGGGCCTCAGGATGACCCTGCTCTCGGCCTCCAACGCCTCAGATCCGAGGACAGGCAGGCCACCCGCTCTTGGAGCCGGTTCGCCGCCTGAGCTGAGGTCTCCGGCCGAGGGGAATAGGTTCAGGGCGCCTCGGGTCTCCTCCAGCCACTCTCAGCCTTGTGGGTCCCGCACTCGCCTGAGCTGCTGCAACCAGCGCCAGGATCGGCCCATCGTGCTCGCCCGCCGCGGGTTCCTCAACCCCGGGTCCGCGCGGCCTGGCTGGCCCTGGCCCTCGGCCCCCGGCCCCGTGACTCTCTCTTGCCTGAGAACGAATCCTGAGAAACGGGCGGCAAGGTCCCGCGGAGAAAACGAGTAACGTGGGCTTATTGGGTTTGGGGAGTTTTGCCCTCTGGTTTGGAGCTACAGTGAACTCTTCTCATCAGCACATCAAGGAGGACGCCATATTGCCAAGACCCAGAATGCATCGCTACCTACGGCGTGATTAACAGACCAAACTTGCTCAGAGCGTTCTCGCCGCGGTTCTCTGGATAAAGCGAGGAAAGAGAATCCCCTGCCCCCGTTACCTCGGTTACCACAATTCAGCCTCCCATGGTTCACCACCTGTCGTTCAATAAATACGTGATGTTAAAGTCATTCCTAGAGATGATACCATACTAAATTAATTAATTTTTTAATTTATTTTTTACAAGTGAAGCTACATGCTCCTGAAATCAAAGGCATCGAACACCTTATTTCTTTCAGATTTGATTTTGAAAAGGTAGCAAAAGCTTCAAAAAGAACTGTCAATAATAGGACTCAAGAAAGTTAGCAAGTTTTTGCATGTTGAATCCTCCACAATATTGAGCACCTTTTTTTCAGAGAAAACCAACTGAATAAATAATTTCGCCCACTCCAATTTTTTATTGTGTCCATTTTGCTTTCTGAGCAGTATATTCAGATTTTCTGATAGCTTCAGTTGTAAAAGACTAAAAGCTATATAGATCAAGCCTTCTGCGTTACTTTATTTCTCGATTTCGATTCAGTAAACATTGTTTATTTACAAGGTGCGGAAACTGTTGGACAGAGCAGGGAATATAAAACCAAAGGAAGCAGGCAAAGGGGCAGTCCCCACCTTCAATACGCGTAGTGTCTTTGATTGACACACTTGTAACCACTAGATTAAGCAGAGCAGGAGACAGCCTGGCTTAGTCCGGAGAAGCCTCGTGTTCGTCTCTGCGTCTGGGCTTTGCCATCAACCACATCGGGATTTGTGTCTGGGCTGCATCACTTCCCATCTGTGTGACCTTGGTCTGCCTCTTGAATAGCTGAGTCTTTATTTCCTCAATTATAAAACTGGGATAATAATACCCACTTTGAAAGACAAAATTAACTCATGAAGGTGCCTAGTATATAGTGAGCACTCAGAATGTTAGCAAGGAGTGAAATCTAGCCTTATTAATCTAAAACCTCAGGTTTGGCTCTTGAAGATAGCCTGATTCTCAACGTGGTTTCCCAGGGCTTTGATACAATGTGTCAGTCCACATCAAAATCCTGATGGCATTCCGTGTTCCTTTTAACAGTGCAAGTACACATGAGGATAAATGGCGCGATCCCAGCTCCTTCTCATCCAGCACACAGCAAGCATTTAATAAAAATTCTCAGATTAAATCATTACCATTCTAGACACTGGTTTGCTTATTGCATCCCACCGAGTCTGATTCTCCTGTTAAAACTCAGGGCGATTTCACTAAAACACAGAAAGGAGCTAAAGCCTTCCTGAAGGCAACAAAGTAACTTTCGCTGCCTTGTCATCCTGCAGCAGACCCCAGGGAAGGCAAGCCCCGTTCGCCCACCCAGCCACCCCCCACCCCAGCCACCCCCTACCCCACCCCGGCCTGCAGATGATTCTACAGCAGCAAATGCTGCAGAAAAGTGTCAGCTTTTTTTTTTCTTAGAACATTTTATTGTGGTTTGGGTGAAAGTTTACAGGACAAATTAGTTTCCCATTCAACAGTTTATACACATTTTGTTTCATGACATTAGTTGCAATCCCCTTAACGTGACAGCACTCCACTCACTTCCTCCCCGAGTTCCCCGTTTCCATCGCCCATCTTTCCTGCCCCTTCCTGCCTTCTGAACTTTTTGTGGGGGCAAATGCTGCCCTTCTGGCCTCATAGGGTTGATTGTTCTGAGGAGCACATTCCTCACGGGTATTACTGTTCACTTTATATGCCTGTCTACTGTTTGGCTGAAAGGTGATCTCCGGGAGTAAGTTCTGTTCCAGTTTTTTTGTTTGTTTTTTCTTCTTCTTTTTTTTTTTAATTGTACTTTAGGTGAAGGTTTATAGAACAAATATTTTCTCATTAAACAGTCAGTACACATATTGTTTTATGACATTGGTTAACAACCCCACAACACGTCAACATGCTCCTTCTCGCCCTTGGAGGACCTGTTTTTTTTTTTTGGTGAAAATATGCATAGCCAAAGATACACCATTTCAAACATTTCTACATGTATGATTCAGTGCCGTTGATTACGTTCTCCCAGTGGTGCTGCTATTCTCACTTTAGACGTCTGTTCCAGGTTTGAAAGGTGTCTAAGGTTCATAGTCTCAGGGGTTCCACCAGTCTCTATCAGACCAGTAAGTCTGGTCTTTTTTATGAATTCAAATTTTGTTCTACGTTTTTCTCCCACTCTGTCCAGGACCTTCTATTGTGATCCCTACCAGACCGGTTGGTAGTAGTAACCAGACACCATCTAGTTCTTCTGGTCTTAGGCTGGTGGAGGCTGTGCTTCGCGTGGTCCATTAGTCCCCTTGGATTGTTTCCTTGAGTTTTCCATTTTCTTCACTCTTCTTTGCTCCAGATAGGAAGAGACCAACTGTTGTCTCTTAGATGGCCACTCACAAGCTTGAAGACCCAAGACGTTACTCACCAAGTAAGATGTAGAACATTGTCTTTATGGACTATGTTATGCCAATTGACCTAGATGTCCACTAAGACTATGGTCTTAAGCCCTCAAGCCCAGTGACTCAGTCCCTCTAGGTGTTTGGTTATGGCTAAGAAGTTTTCATAACTGTGCCCCTGTTTGCTCTACTATATACGTGGACATATTTGCAGCACATACAAATGCGTATGTAGAAATATCCTCTGCCAAACTTATATATGCTCGTGGGTATACTCCCATATGCAAACCCACACCCGTTCAGCTTACATATGTATACCTATGTATCCATTTATAAATTATTGTTCGCTATTACTGTTATTGCAGGAGTGTTATTGTTGCCTTTTACTCTTGCATGCCTCTCACTGTCTTCCTTTGCCTTGGTCACGTTGTGCTGACTTCCCCAATATCGTGTATTGTCTTTCCCTTCACCCAAGTTAATACAAGTCTACTACGTAGTTATTGGTTTTTCTTCCCCCTCCCCCATCCCTGGTAGCCATCAAAGAATGTTTCTGTCTGTATGAAAATCTTTTCTTGACTTTTCATGATAGTGGTCTCATACAATATTTGTCCTTTTGTGATTGGCTTATTTCACTCAGCATAATGTCCTCCAGGTTCATCCATATTGTGGGATGTTTTGCCAATTCATTGTTATTCTTTAACTTTGTGTAGTATGCCATTGCATGCAGGTACCATAGTTTTTTTCATCCATTCATCCATTGAAAACAACTTAGGTTGTTTTCATCTTTTTGCTATTCTGAGTAATGCTGTGATGAATACGGGTGTGCATACATCTATTCATGCCATGGTTCTTATTTCTCTAGGATATAAATCTAGTAGTGGGATTGTTGGATCATACAGTATCTCCATTTCTAACTTTTTCAAGGAAGCGCCATACTATTTTCCACAGGGCTTGTACCATTTGACAATCCCACCAGCAGTGTGTGAGAGTTCCAATCTCCCCACATCCTCACCAGCATTTGTTGTTTTCTGGTTTTGATTGTGTTTTGATCATTGCCATTTTTGCCCAGTTGAGATTATAGCTCATTGTTATTTTGATTTGCATCTCTCTAATGGCTAATGGGAGCGCTGGTGGCACAGGGGTTGTGAGCTTGGCTGCTAACCAAAAGTTGGCAGTTCGAATCTACCAGCTGCTCCTTAGAAACCCTATTGGGTAGTTCTACCCTGTCCTATAGGGTCGCTGTATGTTGGAATCGACTGGATGGCAATGAGTTTGGTTTTTGTTTAATGGCAAATGATCGCAACCATCTCTTCATGTATTTGTTGGGCACTTGAATGTCTTCTTTGGTCAAGTGTCTGTTTATGTCCTTTGCCCACTTTTTAATAGGATTGTTTGTCTTTTTGTTGTTGAGGTGTTCACGTTTTCCATAAATTTTAAAGATCAGTCCCTTGTCAGAGATGTCATTGCCAAAAATTTTTTTCTAATCTGTAGGTTTTCTTTTTACTCTTTTGGAGAAATCTTTTGATGCACGTAAGTGTTTAATTTTTAGGAGGTCCAAGTCATCTAGTTATCTTCTGCTGTTTGTACATTTTTCATTATGTTTGACAGTCTATTTATGCCATATATTAGGGCCCCTAAGTTTGCCCCTATTTTTTCTTCCATAATCTTTATAGTTTTAGGTTTTATATTTAGGTCTTTTATCCATCTGGAGTTCGTTTCATATGTAGTGTGAGGTGTGGATCCTGTTTCATTTTTCTGCAAATGGATATCCAGTTGTGCCAGCACCATTTGTTAAAGAGAATGTCATGGATTGAATT